TGCTGAAGCACCTCAAACTCAGGAAGGTCAAGTGTGTCGTCATCTCACCCAACTGTGAACGCATTCAGTCCAAAGGTATTGCGTCCTTGTGAGAGTTTCACAGTAGGGAATTTATTTTAATGGAACCTTAGAATTGTTTTCTCTTTCTTTGCGCCAGTCTGTACTGTCTATATCTCATGAACACAGTCATGTCCTTGATCTGTGGATAAGTGGTCAAAAGCGGATGAGATATTGTACAACATTACATATTGTAATGTAATTACAATTGATTTTAATGTGGTTGTTTGTTTTTTTTTCTACCTTAAAAATCATGTGAATGGGATTTCTTGTAGGAAAAGTAAACAGCTTTATATATTTTGTTTTATTAATCTGCTGGTTGTTTTTTAATATTTTTCTATAGAATACATTTTTTAGTCTATGAAATGTTAAAAGTGAATTCTTAGATCCCATGGGTGGTGTTTAAAATTGCTTTTTTTTTTTTTTTTTTTTTTTGTCTGAGCAACTGTCCAAACAAACTTTCTGTAAATCCACTAACTGTTTCTGAACTACTGAAAATGTCTAGCTCTAGCTTGTCTACCATTTCTACTCAGAAGCCCCAAAAACAATAGTTAAAATAGCGAAATCTCTTTTGGCAAAAAACCTGCAGCCTGATTACAGTGTGGGCTAGAGGTGACAAAAATGTGCCGCCTTATTATAGCTGGTGAGGAGGCTTGCGTCGTCATATTTATTCAGAGTTTTCAGATTTATCCAGCCCAGAGAGCATTTTGAACAGGTCTGTGGTGAAAGTGACAGCTTTGTGTGGATACGTGGCCAGCAACAAAAGAAGCTTCAGTGTCAGATTTATCCAGCTAAATGTGTACATAGTCTGACCATGCCAGTTTTTGCAACGTATTACTCATTTACAAATTTAAACCAGGGAGCAACGAGGTCGAACTGAAAACAGAGTGCTTAAAGCTAAGGTAGGCAATTTATTCAGAAGCATTTTGTTGTATTTGTTAAAATCCTCTTTACATCCCGGCAGCAATCAATAAATCAAATGCTCATAAAACCAGTTACCAAAAAAATCTGGTAACTGTGGCTGTCACAGGACTGTAATGAGCCTACTTGGCTGCACTCTGCCTCATTGTGCATGAACATGTGTTTTGGGGGAGAGGCTGTGTTGGGCGGCCTGAAGGGAATGGGTGGGATTCATTCGGTTGGATATTTTCATATTTTAGCTCTTGCTTGTTTCTCAAACGTTGCTTTCCCCAGCCCTAAAACCGTGATACTGACAGTCATACAAAAATGTCGCCTTTCGCAGGAGGCCTGGATGAGGCTCTTTACACCATCATCGACACTTGTCGTGAACAGGGGGTGCCATTTGTGTTTGCCCTCTCCCGGAAAGCTTTAGGTCGCTGCGTCAACAAGGCAGTGCCCGTCAGCCTGGTGGGCATCTTCAACTATGATGGTGCACAGGTCGGGCTCATGTTCAGCAACAGCACATACTAATCACCAATAAGACAGAAATGAGCATTAATGTTATTACAGTAAGTAAGATTTTTGACTATTGAACATATTTCATACAACCTGAAAACGTTGTCCTGCTTACCCACAGGACCTCTATCACAAGATGATCGAGTTGTCGTCCGAGGCCAGGAGAGCCTATGAGGAGATGGTGTTGAGCCTGGAGCAGACAGGTCGGGTGGAGCAGGCGGAGAACACTGAGGAAGAGCTGCAGATCAGTGGCCTGGCTGATGAGGCTGAACCCAGTCCTGACGCCACACAGCCAGAGGAACCAGAATACAGTAAGTTACTGTACTGACCCAATATTTATGATACCTGCTCTTTTAATTAATTGGTCTGTGAAATGGAAAACCAGGTTAAACCAGGTGAAGGCTGTAATTTAGTGACTTGACCAATTAAATCCACTTTAAGGGAGATGTACTTGATACAGTAACAGATGTCACCACTGAAACTGAAATAAAAATCACAAAATGTAATTTTTGTATTTCTTCTAGTAAAAATTTGGAAGAAGATGTTAGAGAAGGATTGCAACCACAAATTTCTAAACTTTGAGGAGCAGCTGAGCTCCATGCACTTGGACAGTGAATGCACTGAAAACACTGACGAAGATGAGAAGGGCTGACGCAGCGGCAAAGCCTTTCATGCCTAAAACAGGAACCCACTTGTGCTCATCACCAGCTTGGAAGAAACTAGGATGCAGATAGAGAGCAATGCGAGGTGCTCTGCTGCTTTTGGTTCTGGGGATTTTGTCAGGAAATTAATAATTTTGCTAATAGTTTGTAATGAATTATGAATTTTTATTTTTTTTCTGAAAAGCTTAAGTAATATTTTTTTGTGTTTGGTTCAAGATAATTAGGCAAAGCTGTGTATTTTAAAAGTGTGTGTGTGTGTGTGGATTATAAACTGAAGAGGTTAACCACTGATTTACTGGGACCAAACCAGTCACTTGAAGAGATCCCACAATATGAATTTTCAGACAGGTTTTTGAACATAGAGGATGTGCATGGGTTTATGTACTGAATGTGTGTAGAATATCAGCTAGACAGCACTAAGAAACTATCAGTATGTTGATTTGACTCTATGTTATGAACTTCTGCCCTGGAGCCATTATGGTACATTTTGTTTTTCTCATATCAATTAAGTTCAGTTTAAAGTATTTTTCTGCCTTTTTTGCCTTAATTTGACCGGCACATTACAGAGAGGACAGGAAATGAAGGGAGTGAGAAAATGGAGAACGTCCAACAAAGGGCATTGCATTGTTACATGGGCAGTGACTGAAGTGAGCTCAAATTAGAACCAATTTGATTTTAAGCTTGTGAAATTATGGCTTTATATCAACCTTTGAAAAACTGTGTGTGGGGGGGGGAACTGCGTTCATGTTTGTGAATGTAGAGAAGATTTATGGAATGTTATTGCGTAAAGTTCCCGCACTTAACATGACACTGAAGCTACACATGCCCACAAACACCCTGCTTTTGTTTGTTAAAGCAAGGCCAAAGTAGACAGTTTGAAGACAGTAGTTTGCTTTGCTGTTAATATCCAAGAAAACAACATATTAAAGCAGTTCATACTTTCAAGTTATTATAATATTTGGGCCATCAGACGTCAATCAATCTGCAACTTTGGAAATGCCACTACTGTATTAAAGTTTTAGATTTCTTTTGTGCATTTCATTGCCTTGTGGGAGAATAGTGTTAATCAGCAGCACACACGCAACACAGATTTATTTACTTGTTCTTAGATTTTTTTTTATCTACAACTATAAATCTTTCCTACACACTTCACAAAGGGAAGGGTGGTACACAACCAGATACTTCCGGATTATTTCTAAACATAATTTCACAAGCTCAAAATCTTACTGACCCTTATTTGAACAGAAAGTCTTATAAACCTGTAGGCCACCTTGACGCGTGATGCCTAGGTTCAATTTAGAGTTAAAAATTAAGCCATGCTGCTGCTTTGCATAAAAAAATGAAATCCTTTTTAACATGAGCAAGACAGAACCTTGTTTATCCTGATTGCACTACATAGTAGTGCCTGTGTTTTTCATTTGCCTGACACTACCAAAGTACTACACAATATCAGTAGTACTACCTGTGATTAGGTGTAAATGGTAGCATTTGATTTTCTTGTAAGAAGAAGAACGGCAAGATAATGTTAAAGAAACATTACCTGCTGTTAACTGAACTTGGTTGAAAAGTTGTTCAGGAGGAGTTTTCTGTTGTCCGACAGAGGAAAAAGAAATTATAAACTGGCATAATGATAAAACAGGACAAATTACAGTAATCTGAAGTGCAAGGTGACAGTTACACGTAAAAAGAAGCAATAAATGGGCAAGATAAACAGTCAGAATTCAGCAGAATTCAGATTTTAGAGAAGTGTCTTATGATTATGACCTATGAGGACTTAAACACTTGCAGATATCATTGCGAGGTAGAAATTGCTAATGTAAAAAGTTATGTTGTGGAAATGTGTAATGCCGGATGTGGTTAAAAAAAACAATGTTTCAAATCTTAGGTAAAGTGCAGAAATAGTAATTATTGTAATTGGAAGTTGGTATGGGATTGTGCTCATGCAAGGAGGGCCTGATCGCATGATCAAGTCTGCCTAAAATATGTCTTTGTACAAGGAGGAAGAGGATTGTTAATGGACTGTTTTTATGGTAGACATTTTGACATGTTACAAGAGGAAAAGCACAGGTGTAACTAACAGCATTCATTATGGCTGCTTTCCATTTAATCGTAAGGTCGGTTCCAGGGTCACAGTGTTAGGACACCTAAATGAAACGGAGCCATCATTAATGCTAGTAATAGCACCGGTGCTTTTCCTGCTAGGATTGAAGTCAAAATGTCTGCTGAAGTCTTACATTTCATGTGAATCTTACAGCAGACGTTGAACATTTTGGGAAATATTCTCATTCGCTTCCTGGGTCCAGGCTATTTCTTAGGTCTGATCAGTTGCCAGGCATTTAGAGAGACACCAGGAAGTTACTGAACATAACTCCCCATAAAATGACAACTTGTCACTTTTACTCTTAGAATTTTGGTACAGATAAAATAAAACACGTTAAATAGCAAACTTTAGGTGGATTTTGTTACTGTCAGTCATGGTCCATGTTTACAGTATTTGTGCTAATTTAAGCTAATCAGCAACTGTAGTCTTTATTTACCATACAGAAAAGTGACAGGAATTCTCATCTAATTCTCCACCAGAAAGCGAATAAGCGTATTTCCCAAAACGTTGATCTAATCCTGTGGTTCAGTAAATTCTGTGGAAATAAGAGACCAACTGTGAAACAATAGGAATTTAGAACTGCATGATGCAAGGCCTAATGTTGTAAAGGTATATTTTTTGATTCAGTTTTTTATAAATCCTTAAAACTCTGTATGTTAGATCGAGCATAGACATATTTCCTAGGAGAATGGAGATACAAACAATACATTTTTGATACATTAATAAACAGATGATTTAGTTGTATGTTAAATAGGAAATACAAATCACAGGAGTTTTTTAGTTTATTAATTTTCTTCAAACAAAATCAGTGTTAAGTGTAATTTGCATAAAGAGGACAAATGCAGTGTACTTTTAGTGAGTGTGTCATTCATATACAAGAGGAAGAGTAGTGGACAGAATGCGCTTCCCTGATGCATCCCAATATCACAAGGGGAGAGTCTTCAAAACAAAAATCTATAATCAAATCACTTGATATGTTTAGATAAACGTTAAGAAAAAAAGGAAAACTGGATATTTTTGTCATTTTAAATGATTAACATTTGTCAGTAGATTGCAATAAATCATTTTGATCTGAATAAAGAATTTTGAAAAATATTTGCTATATCTGAAATGTTCAATTTACTCAAACATTTAGTTTATTTTGGGTTAAAGAAAAGAAGAGAGATGAGATAACATTTAAAACCATACCTCACACATAGACCAAAAATGCATCTTTACTCTTCAAGCTTCTGTCGTTAAACTGAGGCAGCAGAAATAATCCTGGGTTTAAACTGCATTTTGCAAAGTGCTGTTCAAGACCAGGCACAGTGCTTAAAATGTATGATGAACAAACATTTTAAAATGCTCTATCTTTGTTTCTATAACACAAAAACACTAAGCCATCACCTGTGTTAACATATTTGGATGATCTTAGTACTCTCCTTAAATAGTAATTCCCTGTAGTAATTGGATCAATGTTTCCCTCCCTCTCCACCTCAATCTGATTTGTGGTGAGCGTTCTGGTGCTAAATGGCTGCCGTGCATCACCCAGGTGGATGCTACACATTGGTGGTAGTTGAGGTGAGTTCCCCCTACTTCACTGTGAAGCGCTTTGAGTATCTATGATAAAGCGCTATATAAATGTAATTCATTATTATCATTATAGATGCTAGATAATGATTTATTTTTAAATCCCTTGTATACTTTGCATGTGAAATGTTTAATCCCAAAATGATGTTTAAAACTAAAACTGGAATATAATTTATTAGCAATTTCAAACTCCTTCAAAATAATGAATCATTTGTGATTTAAAATGAAACAACTAAGAAAATTTATATTTTCAAAAAAGATAGATCCTGTGTACATTTTGGAATGAAACGCAGTATGTAAAATGAGTTATTGAACGGTCATTCATTTTAAAAACCTACTTTTGTAAAGTATACAGTATGTTGCAAAATAAATAAAATGTTTAGCTGATTAGACTGCTAAGATGTTTGTGTGGTCTGTTTATTTTTGTTCAGATAAATCTTTAGTTTAACTGGATCAAATTAAACACATCCCAGATAAACCAGATTGACCAGAATTTACCTGAGGCAAAAACAACAGCCTGCACAACCCTTATGTAATCATTTCATCACCAACTACTCTTCCAAGGATAAATCTGTTCACATTATCACTAACACGTAATCTGTGTAGCCAAACTTAATATAGCTTATTCCTTTGTGCTGTAGAGCTTGTCCAACAAGAGGCTGTACTTGGGCACATTGTGCTTTGAGCTAAATTCATTTTAGCACAAAGTCCAGCTGAGGCTGATGAGAATGTCATTAGTCTTGCAGGTATTTAGCCAACAACCAAAGTATTACATAAACAAATTGAAATTGTGACCTAATGATGGCTGTAGAGGAAAAATCAGGATTAAGTTTTTTCTCTAGGGACCTTGAAATATATGTAGCAAATTTCACAGCAATGCACTCTGTAAATGTCAAGGTATTTCACTCAAAACCACAAATGTCAACCTCATGGTCGCATGAGAAAAAGTCCTAAGACCACCTAAGTCATTCAGTCAGGGTAATCCATCCCATACTTTTTGAGACATTTCACTTGCAACAAAACATGTCAACCTGCTGGTGGCGCTAGAGGAAGAGTCAGGAGATCCCCAAAGTAATAATAAGGATATATCACCTGGGAAACGTGAACGCCAGAACAAAATTTTGTGCCAATCCATCAGCCAGATGTCAAACTATTTCACTGAATAATACTAGAGGGAAAGTCAGAGGATCATCAGTGTCATTCAAATTTATCCTCATGAGACCTTGAATGTCTCTAGCAAATTTCAAGGCAATCCAACCATGGTGGCCACAAATGTTTACTTCATGGTGATGCTAGAGCAAAGGTCAGGAAATCACCAAAGTCAGTAGGATTCATCCTCTTGTTACCATGAATGTCGGTACAAAAAGTCACGACAATGCACCCGATAATAATGACAACAATATCGAATATCCCCAGCTCTTTTCTATAACTCAACAGTAAATCACTGGGGACATATGTCTCTTGTATTTGGAAACTGCATATAAAACAAAACTTTACATTAAAGGTGGTGCAGGAACAGTATCTACATATCCGCTTTCGGTGCGTTCTGTATTGGGTCCAGTAACACAAGGATTTCTTGGCTTCTGAGGGGGACAGTCTGTGTAGTGGTTACCCTTATCTCTACAGGAAATGTCGACTGACACATTTTGTTTCTGCAGGAAGACCATGTTGTCACTGTCCACCTCTTTCACCCTGCTGTAGTCCTCTGAAATGTTCTCTTGTCTCTGATCATCCATGTAGCCAGAGCTGTTAAGTGGGACATTTTCTTTCTTGAGGAGGAGAATATTGTCACCGTTCACCTCTTTCACTTTGCTGTAGTCCACCTGTTTCACATGTCTCTGAATATCCACGTAGCTGCTGTTTGCGAAGGGTTTGACGGCGTTCTGATGATCCGACGGACTCTGATCTGTTGCTTCTGTGTTTACAAGGTTTAAACTTGGGCACTGCTGTTTCTGAGTAGGCAGCAGGGGTGGCACCGTATTAGATGAACTTTCTCCTGACAGAGACGTATTGCTTTTTAGAAAGTTATCCTTTTCATTCTTTCTTTCCTCGGCCTTCTCCGTGTCACTTTGGCTGGCAGTTGACTCCTTACATTGGATTTCGGAATCCAAGCAGAAGCCAGCGGGAATAATCAAGCTTTTCTTCCTTTTTTGAGAATTTGAGGGATGTGGCAGTAGTTCTTCGTCATTCTCAGTCACAATTAGGTAGTCCTCTATCTGGTCTTTCCAGGTCACCATAAGAGGAAAATCCTGGTTGATGATCAGGGCATTGAGAACGTCTTCAGATCGTCCGCTCTGGAAGGGTTAAGTTGGTTTAATTCAGTACATTATGACTTTACCATTGTTATCAAGTCCAAAGCAACTTTTTGGATATGTTGGAAATACAATTCAGATGCAGTTTTACCTTGAGAAGTTGAACATCCACACCTCTTATCTTTGGACCAGGAACAGGGGGCAGAACACACTGCTTCACACTGGCGAACAAAAGAAAGTCGTGAGTCAAATGATCGTTATCAACCTGACTGTATATAAAAAAGCTTTACATTTTTTTGCAGGAGATACGTACCGTTTCCTCTTCATGAACAAGATACATATTGCTGCAAGAAATGGAATTGCAAAGAGGGTGGAAACCAAAAGCCAAAAGGGTCTCTCAGTCTGAAGATCTAATTAATTTCAAAAAGAAGGCATCTTTTAATGATTGTTCGTAACAGATGCCACCTCATTATTAAGCCAAAGATGGAGCAAAGAGCTTCTGAGACTTACAGTTGGGGATTTTAACACAGGTAGAGTTGCTCCACTCGCTCCAGAAGCCATGGTCTAGTCTACAGCGCACCTGAACCTCATACACCACCCCAGGACTGACGCTGTACAGGCTGATATGGGTTTGTTTACCCGACATGTACTCCTAGAGAAAGAAAAATCACCTCGTACCCAGGTTAAGTTCACATTTTGGTGAAACAGTAGTTGCAAATACATGTGTTTTACCTGAATTAGTGTTTCACATGTGTTTGGGACCCGTAAAGGGGGTAAAAACAAAGTTGTAATACCAATGTGGAAGATACTGTTTATGTGCAAATGAAAAGAGTTGAGAACACTTAAAACTGACCTTCCACTGGTCGCTGTTTTCTTGTTTGACTCTTAGTTCATATTTAATGGTGACCCAGCCAGACTTGGTGTCTATCTTATGGGGACGCTCCCATTTGACATGGAGACATGGACTGTCCTCTCTATCCTCCACCAGCAGCGTTACATTTTCAGGAGCATTGGGCTTCACTGTTGAGCACAGATAAAACAAGACTCAGGGTCCACGGCCACACTCACGATGGATGGATGGATTATCTCAGAGGATCTGCAGCAGCAAAGTGACATGTGCTATAGCCAGCGTCTGTGTTTAGTCTCACACATGGGGGCTCGTGAAGAAGGTCCTTGGACACCAAAATGTCTTTAGAGAGTTGTAACAGGCCACACAGGAAATACTTAATTTCACTAATATGTCTTAAATATTTGATCTGAAGTAAGTTTAGATCCCTGGGACAAAATCAAATGCAGTGTAGTTACTTTTGTTCTATTTACATGGGACAGTACACTGCTCCAAATGTAGTGTAAGTACAGTGCACGGAGATCACATGCCTGCATAACCAAACAAAAGATGTGAAATTTGATCTGAGACAACGAGTTTTACACCGGGCACAAACCAGTTCCGCCTCATTCTGTTCACGTTTTCATTTGTGCCTCGTGCCTGTCAGTCAGTACTTTTCCATTTATTACTCCGCTCAAGAATGCTGCACGGCCAATAAAACTACCAATCATTAGCTGAATCAATACAGATAATTTTCTGCTAACTTTTACTCTGATGAATACATAGATCTAGTAGTTTTAAAGTGTATCGCTCCTAGTCTGACACAAAAACATTGTTGAGTTAAGCAAATTATGCTGTTCCTAATGAATATTAACAATATGTAGAGATGTTTTCTTTACTGAAATCTTCTTCAGTTACTGTCTTTGTTTTTCTGCATTTTGGTTTTCTCACTTGCCTTCCTTCATTCAACTACAAATGGCAATGTGTTTATTATAGCTCTAATTTTAGAAGGTTGCACATATTACAAGTAGGAGGCACATCTGTGTCAGTGAACAGGAATCAGAACATACTCACTATCTCTCTCCTGAGGGTTGATTCATTCATCTGATCTAAATCAACTTACCAATTTCCATCACTTCCATCTTAAAGGGGTCTGAAGTGGCATTCCCAAGGGCATTGGAGGCCACCACTGTCAGGCAGTAGTCGACCCAGATGGAGGTGTAGTTCTTGTCAAAGAAACAGGAGTTCCTCCCTTCCGACCGGTAGTCCGGACACTCGTGTGTTCCCTCCAATCTATGCGTAGACAAAACAAGACCTTTACTAACAAGGATATAAGTCAACACTGTGCTGTGGGCAGTAAATACATGTTGGCAATTAATACACATGAACAGGTGTGATATCCACATAGTTTCCTCACAGACCACTGCAACATGATCCCAAATGTCATCTTCTAAGAATAATCTTTTCATTTAATGACATCTAAGGATACGTTCTGACAAGTTTTATGAACCTGAAAGATGTCAGGGAATTTTGTCAAACCATACAGAAGCATTCACATTGAATTTTAAGTTATAAATGAAATATAAATGTCACCAAACTTGACATTTTATGCATTATTAAAACTGAGTTTTCAGCTCTGTGAGGCTGTACTTGTTCACAGATAAATGCTAACATCATATGGCTAACTTGCTGATGTCTAGCAGGTATAATGCTAAGCATGTCCACCATCTCAGTTTGGCGTGTTATCATGCTAACATTTGCTAATTAGCACTAAACACAAGGTACAGCTGATGGGAATGTCATTAGTTCTGTAGAAGTATTAGACAAATCAAAATGTTGACCTGATGGTCAAGTCAGGGGATCAACAATGCCATTTGGATCCAGCCTCAGGGGGCCTAGACTATACAAAATGTCTGACAATTCATCCAGCAGTAGTATTTGAAAAGTCTTAAACTATAAGTATTTGGATGATTTCTAGGAAATGCGGCCTTCTCCTTCATAGTCGATCTGGATGGTGACTACTACTGGAAATCTCTTGATAATGGCACAACTTGGATATTTCAGCAATCACAAACTACTTAAGAAGGCTGAGGAATTTTGCGATGCCCCAGGGCCCGGACGTTAAGTCAGCACTGCAGCTCAGTAGAATACTACAACTCAAATCTCACCAGATGGTTAAGAAAGCTGGGAAAATGTTGTTCGCCCGATATTCACAATTGTTGGTAATCACCCAACTTTCTGTGAAACCGTTGACTAGGCAAAGACTGTTTACATCTGCGGGTTGCTCCTGTCCCATAAACATAGTCCACATAAGTGCAATTCAAAACAAACCAAAGGGATCCCTGCCTGGACTTCTCCTGTCTGAAGTGCGTTGATGCGATGAGTTACACAGTATAATAATGAACAACATGCGGACATGGGGACATTTCAGACTGTAGATTACTGCACAATCATGGAGCTCCTGAAGGGGTCTCCACCTGGCCTCAGAGGGCCTTGGATTCTGTGGTTGAATGGGGCTAGAGATGACATGGTATGAAATTTTCATTTTGTGATTCTATAGTGACCAAAATGATCACGGTTGTCAGTTTTTTTGCGGTATTGTTAAATGTGCTGAAAGTGTTCAAGAAAGTGTTTTACATATACAATTAGCATTATTGTGCACTTTTTGTTTGCATAAGCATTAAAATAATAATATAGGCAATACCTTATGTGAACATATGAAAACCATAACAAATGTGCAGTAACATGAAAGATGTTATAAAGTTATCAAGTATATGCAGTGACCCCAGGCACAATTGACATAAAAACAGAGGAGGAGTCTTTCATAGGAGTCTACAGCGTTTCTCATGTTGGAACACTTACAACCATTTCGACAACTGCCGATTTAAAATAAACAAAATATGATGGTCTATGTGGGTTACTAAATTATGTAACGTGTTATCATGTCCAATGGGCGACTAGACACACATTGCATATACCGCAACACAACGTGTAGAGGTTTTACAAGAGTAGGTAACACTGAGAGCTTCAGTTTACAAGCTTTTAGCAAGTTACACAGACAAACTATGACATTTTCCGCCATTCCAAAGTCCCCACATCATACATTAAGCTAAAAGTTAACTTACCTTTCATTCGCTATAAAACAATTTGCTGCGATCAAGTTTCCCTCAGCACTCTTATAAAAACCAAATTACAACCACACGTCAGACTTAGCCCTCTGAGAACTAGGCTGAAAAATGTTGGGAGTGCTAACTGTGTATGAGAAAGCCCATGCATCCATTGTCAACCGCTTATCCTGCGTACAGGGTCGCGGGGGGGCTGGAGCCAATCCCAGGGCCACACATAGACAGACAACTAGTCACACCTAAGGACAATTTAGGCTATCAATCAACCTAGCCTGCGTGTCTTTGGATGGTGGGAGGAAGCTGGAGAGAACCCACGCAGACACGGGGAGAACATGCAAACTCCACACAGAAAGGCCAGGGCAACCGGGGTTTGAACCCACGACCTTCTTGCTGTGAGGCAGTGCTAACCACCGCACCACTGTGCCGCCCATGCTAGACAGTATTTACCTTGTTTTTACAATAATAATACTAACCGTCCAGAATTTTCCCGCGGTTTATCATTTGACCAGTAACCATTTCATCCCTAATGGGGAACAGGAGTTTTCACTAGAAATTAATGGAGCTAATACTATAGATTTTGTAATCAGTGCCAGGGGGAGGACAACATCCTTTCTACTCCATCTCCAACAGTTTCTGGACCAAACATCAGTAGTCTCCACCTTTAAACTGTTCTGAGTTCAGATATCTGATTTGTCATGGGATACCCACATCAAGTATATAAGCTCAAAGACTCGGCCAAGGATCCATTACCTCAGTGTTGCCAAAAGAGCTGTGCTCCCATGTGATGTTCTAAAACAAATATACTTGACCTTCAGTTGTCCTATCCTTGAGTATGCCAGACCAGTTTGGGGTGGGCTGACAAAAGGCCTCTCCGAGGCGCTGGAGAGGGTACAGAAACCATGCTGCAGGATCATCGGCATTCTGTCTTCTTCTCTTCCATCCCTGAGTGAAAGGCGTGATGAGGCCACCCTGTGCACCCTCACCAACATACTCAAGGACAGGTCATCCCCCCTGCAGCCTCACCATCCACTTACTCGCTTCATTGGCTCAGGGAATTTGTTTGTGCCCATGTGTTGAACCAATAGACATGAACTTTCCTGTATTTTCTAATTTTCATGCTTTTGCTTATGATGCTGAGTGCTGCTGATGTTTGACACATCTCAGGATTCACTGTTTAATTAGAAACATAGTTTTTATGGCGCTGTACCCTGCCTCGTCAAACTTTAATAAATTAACTTGAAACTATTAGCATTTTGCCCGGGGCCAGGACAAGTGAGGGTCAAACAGGTGAAGCGTTTGAAGTCTGCAGGTTTACTTGCACAGCAACAAAGATTTGTGCTCAGCTGACTGAGCACAAGTGTGTGAACAAAGGGGCTGGTAGTTTTCCACTCGCCTGTCTAGAACGCTACACTGACAGCTCAACAACAACAGCTTTCCACTGTAAATGATTGCAGTAAATTTACAGTAAGATTTCAACAGCATTAACCTGATATTCTTTAAATACAGTGCTTTATTGTATGAAAGAAATATAAAGTTTGTTAAATTACGCTTCATTAACCGTTTTTGTATCGGAACTATACAAGAACTATATATATATATTTATTGCTAATTAACCGTCCAAAGTATCTTAAGTAGCAGTATTATCCAGTATTTTTTGCATTTTGGAGCAATTTTACCTGAATTGCACACGTGAAGCTGGATCCATTCATTTCTTATATAACCCCATCTTTCAATCAATCTTATTTCATTCATAAATTGGTGCAAAGTCTGTCAGTGATGTTTCACTATCAGCTTGCTTGCGTCACTGAACACGATCGAGGAAGGATTCAGCAGCTGGCTACAATTTCATATACGATTGCCTATTAGTCAGACAACACAAGGAGCTCATTTTAAATTTCTACATATCTAAGTAAATGTGTATTTTGCCAGTGAATTCATGAAGCATAATTAATTAATGAGAAATGAAGTGGTAGAGAAGATTTGCCTTGCTGTAACTTGTTTAAAGTGTGGTTGCTTTTCGCAAACTTGTATTAATTACATTAGCATGAGTCTGCTTGATAAAATGATGACGGGACAGTAAAGGCCACAGAGTAGAAGCTGTTTGTGTATTAGTTGAACTATTGACTGTTCACTTGTATTTTGGCTTGTTTTATTCACCTGTTTCTCTGACATTATAAATGTACCAGACTATTTTACCGCTGCCCTACTGATCATAGTTAGTACTTGCCTGTTCATTTAAGATGGTGATCTTACTCACTCACAAGAGAAAGTCTGACTCCCCCTTCCAAACTCTCACTCTTATATTGTTTTTTATTCTGTCAATCATTATTTTGCTCATGACATCTCTTATTCTCACACCTTGTATTGTTTCAGTCATGCTCTTTGTTGCTGTTATTTGTGTTCTGTTTCTGAAACTACACATACGACAGTCTGAAGTTGAGTTCAGGGCTTGGGGATATTGTTTCTTTGTGTGAAGAGAAGTTGCAGTGAAATTATTTTGGAACTCATCTCTCTCTCACATGCACAGGTCTTCCCATGCTGGATTGAGACCTGGTTTCTTCGAGTGGGCCATAAGTAATTCACTAACTCACTCCCTGGACTTTGGCACCTAAGCATGTGCCTTGAGCCTGAACATACAGTTCATATTTGGACATAATGCACCATGTCTGGTGGTGTTCACTGAATTTTAATTTCAATTTTAACTGTTTTGACAGACAGCAATATATTGACATTTTCATTTTGTATTTAATGTTTTATTTTATTTTTTTTGTTTGTTTTTTTTACATTTGTGTCAGTGATAAATGCCTTCAGGCTGGGCAATAAGTTCAGTGTATTCACGTTACATGATATAGGATGTAGCATGTGAAGTTTCCAAAATCATGTTAAAATAAAAAGTAAAGTGCAATAAGAAGGGTTTTTCCCCTCTCATGTTGTGATTACATCACAACAATCACTCTTTTCTTCACTCACAAAGAACATTTTGTTATGCTCTGTGCTTGCAGACGGCTTTGGACAGACTGACATGTGTATAAGCTGTCAGTATTAATTTAGGTTTAATAAAAAAATAGGTTTATTACAATGTATATAAAAAAGTACAAATAGTGCATTAAAACCAATTAAACTGTAAAAGAAAAAAACAGCTACATAATGTATTTTTAAAAAGTCAGTTAAGGTCTGTGAAAGTAATCAAAATCAGTTCATACTGTATTTTTCATTAACACTACAAAACTGTTCATTTTTGTGTCAGTTAGAAAATGATAATTTTACAATAACTTAATTGCAATCCTGTGGCCAGCTGTTTATACTGGAAAAGTTTTAACACTGTACTCTCACTTGCTCTCAGTGTTGGTTATAAATTTATCAGAAACTTGGGGCATCTGGTGGCCTCGTGAGTAAGACGCATAGTGATTGAAACGCTGGTTCTATTCCAGCCGAGGACCTGTCTCTCTCTCTCCCTCACTATAATTCTGTCTGTATCTCCACTGTGACCTTTTAAAAAAAAGGCAAAATGCAACAACAAAAAAAAGAAAATTAAATTAAAAAAATCTAAACCTGACTGACCTTTCTCTCTCATAAAAGAGGCGGTGTGTGGTCGGCAGCCCTCCATCGGAGCCTGGCTCCCACCAGCAGGTGAACGTCTCCTTCTCAGGGGACCTGCAGCCGAGCAGGACTGGTTTCCCTGGTGGAGACATGCCTGGCAACACATGTTTTTATTTTTGTATTTTGAGTGAACCGGTCCTTTAAACAATGTGTTGTTTTTGGCCAAAGACAATGTCATACAAGCCTGTCAACTTACTGTTGCACTTTACAGCTGCAGACAGCAACAAGAGCAGAACCAACCCAACATCTCTCCTCATCCTGGCACAAAGCATCACGCTGTGTACCCTGAAACACAAAGTGACGTCACCAACATGCGGTAAATTAGATGGCGTTAACCTGTGGCTTGGCTGCAAGTCTTGTTTTTACCTTAAACAAAAAGATATGAAGGGAAAACAACAAGCACAAACCAATAACTGTTTGTGCGTGGACTGCTGACTTATAGCCTACAAGACATCTACGGGCATCACATGCTGTGGAAAAGCGTGGGCCTATGTGAGAATTAACATGGAAATTAGGGTTTGACTGAGAGCAACATACGACCCTTTCATCTGCAACATCAAAAAACATTTGAGGGTTATAAGTTAACAAAGTTGGATCAAAGGTGAGGAGCAACTGGTTTCAAAGTGGAACTGGATTGATTAGCCAGAAAAGGATTATGATATACTGGTCGTACTGTGTTCAAAGCTTTAAAACAAAAATGAATATACAGTTCAGGAATTTAATTCAGTCATAAATGATTGATTGCTGGGGATAAATACTTCATCGCATTTTGTTTGTTTAACTCATCCAACCTTGTTGCTCTCTGAAAAACCCCCACATGGACTGAATTTTATGAACTTCCTTATTCCTGGGAGCTTATCTTCATTCAGATCCACTGACTTTAAAGATCCTACTCACAGTGCACAGACTTCTATAACACCGGCCCCAGTGACAAAACTACTAACATGCATGCTTATTTGCCTCAGAGTCCTTTTCTGCAGGTTTTTGAACTGGATGTTGACTGATTAACAGAGTGAGCACTCGGCAGACTTATGCTGCCTGGTTGAAAACCCCAACAACTTTAGGATATCTGCCTCCCTGCTCAACGGTGAAATCCTTTATGCAATTAGTCACCTGAAGAGGTGTGGGAAAGCATCCTCCAATGGCTTTCAGCCTGTAATTTACAGGTTGCCACAAAGGGGTTACACCTATTCACAGATTTTTTCCTTCTTGTTTTGTACAGTAACCACAGTGACAACAAGCTGGGTTTCATCCTGCGACACCGCTAACAAGTTTTAACAGGATCGCTTGAGCAAGGCGCAATCTGGACGCTTATTTCTCTATGTTCTAAATAAAATAACACCTAAATATTCAGCTATACACTCAGACCAACCAGTGTGTCTGGGGTAATACTATTTTATATGTAATATTATTTAACATTTTATCTGCAGATTACTTTTTTTATTCTCACAGAAACCAATAACTTACAATCATTATTTTAACAAACTAAATTACTTAATAAAAAATATTTTCTTTAATTTGGTGCTACATCAGAAACAAAAAGTAGCACTGTTTAGGTAGCTAAATGTAAGTCACTACAACACAATCTCTTGCTGAAAATTACATCATACATTATGCTGATTTGCACCCAAACAAAAGAAAAATCAGAATATCAAAGATACATGCTGAACAGATACATTCTGCACTGTTAAAGTACTGATCCACGTTGTACCATGCATTTCAAATGTTACTGCAATATAGCTTGGGTGAGTAGGCCTACACAACAAATATGAAATTGTATAACATCATAGTCACCATTTATATAAACTACCATTTTTATTGTCGCGGAAAAGCAACTGATAACCTATAATAATCTCCATTAATAATTTAAGCGATTTAACAACAAAACAATACTGACTCCAGTTAGCCTACCTTTTAAGGTATTTCTCTTATTTTTTTTTCTGTTGTGGTGGACAAAATAATAGAAAACCCCTCCCCTTTTTCATGAAATTGCAGTACAAACTTTGTTTGCAATACATTATACCGTTACTCAAGGGTAGTAAGTCTGCTTAATGCATATTACTACACAGTATTGCATTACATGGCACAACTAACTAAGGTGTTGATGTCTTCTTTCAGTTTACCTACCTGCGAGCACACACACACACACACACAAACACAACAAAACGAAACTCAAAGAAAAACTGCTGAACATTAGGATACTAGTTTGAAACGCATTTATGCCAACAGCTTTTAAGTAGTTTTAAATTAAACAAATAAAGGTTAAAACAGCTCTGGTGTTCACTCACCAATTTGGGACGGGTGTGTCGACCTTCGCTCTTTTGTAAATGAACTACATTTAACTGATGTTGACCAACAACACAGGAAAAGAGTAGCCTTCTTCAGTCATGACATGACATTACTGACGACCTTCTCACACCTGGCAACCGGTGCGTCTGACACCTCAGGTAGAATAAGATATGAGGAAGAGAGGTGTCCCCTGAGTCATGAAGGGGAGGGCTTTGTTGTCGACACGACCTGACACCTTGGTACGGCCTGAGAGCGCAGCCGAGCGGGACGTCTCTCTTGTGCTTGATTTCATCTTTCCCCAAAAGAAATCTAAACGTTCACTTACAGTGGCTCATCTTGATGCATAAACAACCTTTGGCAGAGCCGCTGGTATTACTTTCTTCACAGAAGTAGACCTTTTGTCTTGAAGCAAACTGTAAGTGTTAGCAAGTAAGGAGAGACAGACGGTTTACAGTGAGCGACACCCAACACCAGTAAGCTATTTACGTAGGCTAATTTCATTTTCTATTCCTATGTGATTACTGCAGTACACAGTGTGGATGCCCATTTTGGATAGATAGATCGATAGATAGATGATTCATGTGCTTGGATGGACTGTAGGCCTATTTAATTTGACATAAATGTCTTTGCTTTTAGTCAGTTGTTAAGTGACAGTATTGCCTACCTAAGGATGGCAGTATTGCCTGTGTAGCTAGGTATATCTATCATTTGGGCTGTGTCATAGACCTACTCTGCTAACCGGGTGAAGTTAGTTTAATATTCAACATTCGTCGGTTTTCGCGCCTGTCACATTCAATAGCTCCGTGTCAAAATCTCCATTTCTCCCAGTTTTGGGATATATTGGAGAGCTAATTCAGGCAGAAGTTTTACAGCTGTGATCACCTCAAAATCGCTGAAGATAAAGACGCAGTTTAGAGCGGGGGTGGGGGGAGTTAGGGACTGTCTACAAATTGCAACACATCCATTTCAATACCTTTTTTGTTTTTCAACATAAAAATATCAAACCACTGCTAATATAACTAGTGACCACCCTCAAACATTTCACACCTGTAAATTTGTAAAAAAAAAACATGAAAATAAATTAATACATTAATTAAATTCTTAATTACAATTGTTACAAATTAAAATTGAACAATTTCAATAGCTTGCTCATTGTTGAATATATTGGCACCAAATCACCTCTCATCTCTCCGGCGCATCCTCTCACAACTTTCACACCTGTTAGTTTCTGAAAAAAGCCCTTAGGGAATCCCTTAACTCCAATATCAGGGACCCAATGCCTGAAATATGCACCTTTTTGACATTGTAATTTCAATAGCTTGCTCATTGTTGAATATATTGGCACCAAATCACCTCTCATCTCTCCTGCGCATCCTCTCACAACTTTCACACCTGTTAGTTTCTGAAAAAAGCCCTTAGGGAATCCCTTAACTCCAATATCAGGGACCCAATGCCTGAAATATGTACTTTCTGACATTGAAATTTCAATAGCTTGCTCATTGTTGAATATATTGCCAGAACAGAATGTTTTCAGAGAAATACATTTTTATCAATAAATAATTTGAAATCAATAATACCGAATTCTGAATTAAACAATCCAGTTTAATGCACATTGTGCATCAAGCCAACACTACAACAGACACACACACACACACACACACACACACACACACACACACTCATTCTGCCTGCATTTTCTGGATCTATTGGATGTGACAGTTAATGTTATGCTCACACATGCACAGTATCAGAAAAAACTTTGTTACAACCCTGTGTTGTAAAGGTCCAAGGAATGATTCCAATTCAAAATCCATGGATGCAATGCGACATTAACAAAATGAACACTGGTCAAAATTGGTAGATACAGTAGTATGACCACAATGCATAGACATTAAACAGTGCATTCTGCAATCAGGAAACACATGCTGAAGTGCATCAATTAATGTCTGGTTGTATGTATTGGAATAGTATCCCAGTGTCAGCTGGTTCCTCAAGTCTGCTTTATCTCCAGTTGTGAGCTCTAACAGACCTGTGGGCAAAAAACGAGCTACAAATAACTATAGGAAGCAATCCAGAAAGCAGTGAACATGTACTGACATCAAATATTAGAACAATAATGATAGTTAACATTCAGTACCATAGATTGATAAAGACAGATGGAAAATTAAAGTAGAACACTCAAATAAGTAAAATCTACAACTAACTATTGGATGATACATAATATTTTAGATTTTTTTGTTTCTTTTGGAGTAACAAATTATGAACATACAACAAATTATGGACAGGTGATGTACTGTTACAGTCGGCACTCAATCATAAGATGCTTCAAAATGTGAATCAGAATCTGAAATACTTTGACATATGGCTCTGTGTTCTTGCCGCTATTGTCAATGTGTACTCCCAGGTACTTGTAGTCCTCTACGATGTAAATGTAAATGCTCTATTTGTATAAACCACTCAAAGCGCTTTTACACTATATCGCATTCCCCATTCACTCCCATTCATACACTGAGGCCCCATCCACACTAGTGTGTTTTTTGAATTAAAACAGAGACCTTTTGCTACATTTGCACCTCCCGTCCAGACTAAAACGGTGAAAACGAAGACCTAAAACGGAGAAGTCTGGAAACGCTGCCGACCCCGTTGCGTTTCAAAACTCTGGAGAACGTTTTAGTGAAGACGGGCCAAAACGGAGGACTTTGTAAACGATAACGCAGATGCTCACGCTCGGCTCTCTAATTGGGTCTTATAAGTCATGCAAAGCAGAAACACGATGCTACCAACAGAGTTTTTGAGTTGACTAAAATATTCTGTACCATGCAAATAACACTTATCTGTCTACACTTGTACTGTGCATGTCGCCATTTACTTTGCGACGACTCTCAGTCTGTTCTCATTCTGCACTCATTATTGGTGCATGGAAAAAATAAATCTGGTCTGATTCTTTGTCTGCATTTCTTTATTCTTTCGCCAAATCTTCTGTAACTACGGAAGAGACCATCTGCTTCATGTTTACACCGGCACGCGCATTCCCAGTGTACTTGAACGGCCAGCAGATGTGCGTTTTCAGTCATATTAATGTAGATGGAGATCAATTCTAAAACGCAGCTAATAGGCTACGCTTGTGTGGACGGAGACCATATTCATTTTAATTTTCCTTTGTAAACTAAAGTGCAGTAGTGTGGATGGGGCCTGAGCCTAAGTGCTCAAACAGAAACTAACATTCACACACATTCTTGCCCAAGGACACTTCGACAGGTAGCTTGGAGGAGCTGGGGATTGAACCACCAATCTTCCGATTAACAGGTAACCGCTCTACCTCTAAAGCCACATACACTCAGCATACAACATAAGTTGTAATGATTGAGGTGTTTGTGCCTAGGGATAGTGCCCTCAGATTTGAAAAATATGCCTGATTATTCCTTGCGAGTTATTTTTCTAAGGCTATTGTTACTGAACATGCAAAACATTTAGGTTTTTAATCCGTACATTTAAAAGAATGATTTTTCACTTTTCACTTTTGTACATTTCCTGTGGTACCACCACTTTTTAAAACAAGAAATTACACTATTTCTGTCCAGCAAAATACAACTGACAACAAACTAAGTAATTAAATATATATTTTAAATACATTTAATTAAAATACTGCCCATCTCTGCTTAGAATAATCTAGTGCTTACAAAAAACCCTGCTGTAAAAGTACATGATTCTTTTTTGGGGTAACTGAGAGATTGAGGTGGTTTATCTTTTGAGCTACCAAACATACTTGATTTATTCTTTGACTGAACTATTGGAAATAGGACTATCACTAGACAAGAGGCAATTATGATGTTTTAACTTTATTTTCTGTATGTTGACACTGGGAATGTTGGTTTACAATGATAATGTTTGTACTGGAGTAAAACAGATGTATATTCTCTTGTTAATGATTTAATAAAGTTGGCATTCCGTCTACAAACAAAACTCTTCAAAATAAGTATGTGAATGTACTCCACACTTTCATGCTGAAAATAATTCACTGGGGCTTTAAAGTTGTTGAGGAACAATCAAATTATCGCCTAATCCTTTGTGCAGGGACTATTATCTACCAGTATTACTGCTTCCATATAACAGTATGTAACACTGGCTTGATGTGACAAATTCTTACCAAAGAATGCACCAGCTCAGTTAAACCGGTGGTGATTACGACATCATTAATGTTGAGGCATCAACTAGTCAGCATGTAAGTTGACTGTCAAAGTGACATAAAATTGCTATTTATTTCAGAGGTTGCATTCCTCTGGAGCAACTAAGAGTTCAGTGTCATGCTCAGGGACACACTGGTGGATTTGCCACAGTGGGAATTGAACCCACGTTTCCCACACCAAAGGGGCACTGCACTGTACCATCAGGATACCAAATCAAGTGATAAGATAAAGGCATCAGTCCCAATGAATGTATTAGTCTGGTAATGCACAAAGAGATGTCATTACAGTTTTTAATACAGGACAATGAATCCTGGACCAATAAAAATAAAATTAAAAGTCAGGGATCACAAATAAGGGATATAGAGCCAGATTTGGTAGCCCCCCAAACTAAAAGTTTCATGTATAATGTGCCAGATACAACCCTTGTTGTAGATTGTTTTTAAAAAATCAAAATACATACCACAGAAGGAAAAAAAACATGTCCTTGTTTGACCATCAAGGCACTGTTCATTTTCACACCTTTAGAAGTTCACCCAGGATTTGGTCACTTAGGTTTTCAGTACAGGTACTGTCAGTCACCAGATCTTAATCCAACAGGAGACTTAAAGAGAGTGGTCTGGACTAAACTTATCAATGTCACACGGACAGACACATCATTTCTAAGTAAAAGTTTTATGAAAGGAACTTCTAATGGCTTTTCCACAAATAACAGCTGGGCGATCAGGCAATGGGTCTCTGATAATGGTGTTAAGGGATTCCCTAAGAGCTTTTTTCAGAAACTAACAGGTGTGAAAGTTGTGAGAGGATGCGCAGGAGAGATGAGAGGTGATTTGATGCCAATAGATTCCTAAATGAGCAAGCTATTGAAATTACAATGGCCAAATGTACATATTTCAGGCATTGGGTCCCTGATATTGGAGTTAAGGGATTCCCTAAGTGTTTTATCAGAAACTTACAGGTGTGAACATTGTGAGA